ATTTACTTTACATATCCCATCATATTTATTCCAAAGGTTCTACATATGTTGGGACCCTTAATATGCAAATAATACAGTTTAAGTCTAGGCATCATGTTGGATACCTAAATCCCTTAAACTCATGCTCTAATACCAAACTTGTAACACCCTAATTCACATTTGCATATACCTCACATATTTCATTTTATCATAAAATTCAAATATACACATTGGTCCCAACTATATATCTTGCTACAAAAAATTTCCATATAAACCCATTACAAGACTTATAAAGTTCTCAACTACAAATAACATAACATCTTACAAAAATTCCACATATTTAATGCAATCATGATCCCTTTACATTTTTCTCTTTCCTTTATCCTCTGATTAAGCCTGACCTGTAATGCACATTTTAAAAGGCAAAATGAGGGGTAGACCATGAGGTCTAGTGAGAAATTCTTTTGATGCTATTACTGAGTGAAAATCACCAAAACACTTTTACAAAACTCATATTTGTATAAATAACAAATAGACAACATTTTATTGAACAAACCTCTTTTGTCGCATCAAGATGACGAGACAACACCCACTTATCGCCTCACATATAAACTTGTCCCATTTAAATAAATAAGTAATAAAGTCGTCGCCTCCAACAGATGTGATAACAGTAACTTGTCACACCAATAGATGCGATAACAGTAACTTGCCGCATCACATACATGCGATAAACCACACTTGTCACACCTCAAAGATGCGATAACCAACCTTGTCGCATCCAACAATGCGATAACAGTAACTCATCGCACCATACTAGTGCGATAAACCCAATTTGTCGCATCTCATTGATGCAATAAAAATAACACCTTGAATCACAATCCAATCTCATCGCACCACCCTATGCGATAACAATCACACTTATCGCATCATATAGATGAGATAACAAAATTTTATAATCAAAAGATCATCATTTCCATAATCTGATTATGCCACCCTTATCCTAATATACTCAGCTCCTGATTATGCTACCCTTATTACAATGATATACCTAGCTCCTGATTATGCCATCCTTATTATCAAAAATATCTATCTCCTGATTATGCCACCCTTATTTACAATCAGATGATAACATCGTATCAAAACCCAAAATTTATGCTAATAATAACATATACACATCATGTATCCACGTATGAAAACTTACAGTTTATTTACTCAAAAACATAATAAATGATGTTTTCAAAATAAAACTCACCTTGATTTATAGAGATGAGGACCAACAGCAGCAAGCATATAAATCAGATTAAGAGTCACATAATTCAGTCCTTCTTTCTTCCCTTTCGGTTTCTGTTTGCTTTAGTCACAAGAACACACACATACATAATAAACTCCCTTTTACCTTTCTTCCTCCCCTTTTTCTTTAACAAACCCAATGAGATAAATAAAATATCTCATCAAATAATAAACAAAAACACATAAGGCGGTGGTAGTTTAAAACATATTTTAAGCATATAATTAATTTAACCCCTCAACTTACCACCCTTATTAAAAAAAAAACCCCGAACTTTATAACCGATAAACCCGATTATCACACACCACCATCCATCGCCACCACTACTACCACCATTGACCACATCCACCTCATCCTTTATACAACAACCTCCTCCACCACCTTCACAACCACCGTTGATCACAGACCACCACCGTCCATCGCCACCACCATTACGAATGTTGGCCACCTCCACCTCCTCTTCCACTACAACAACCTCATCCAGCACCTCCACAACCACAGTCGACCAACTCTACAAACCACCATCACTAGCACCGTTGTCCACCTCTATCTCATCCTCTACATAACAACCTCTTCCACCACATCTATAGCCACTGTCAGTCACCGACCACCACCGTCCATAGCCACCTAGGCCACCTCATCTCCACCATGACCATCATCGGCTACCACAACCAGTGCTCACCACCACCACTATCCACCATCTTCACAGGGATCGGGGACGAGGATTTCCTTTCCGTTTGGTTAATGGGTATTGTACTTCCTCCCCGCCCCATATATTATAAATAATTTATTTAAAAATATATATAATCTACACTATATCATAAAGCATTTGATAAAAAACACTTACAAATCATTTTTATGCATTAAGTACTGTTTATTGATGCATATTATCTAAAATTGAAGATTAAAAGTAAGTTGTGCGTAAATACAATTTGTTAAAGCTCTATTTTGAATTCATGTAACTAATTACATATAAACATAATCAAATACAGAATAAACATCTAATTTTAAATATAAAAAATCTAAAATATAATTAAGATAAT